GCTCCAGTCCGAGATATCACTTGAATACTATGTAGTTGTTTAAACACCAGTACACCTCATCACTGAGTGCGCCGAGACGACAACCATTCGTGCCATGAATTTTGGTACGACTGATATTGGAGATGGAGAACTACCCTCTATAAAACCGTCCCAGATACTGGCTTTTGTGGAAGCCCTGGGACTGTATTGAGTTATGACTCAAGAAAGGGGGACACAATGGATCTGTAAGGTCGCAGTGATTAACCACCCTCCCACTCATTCTAAATTATAAAAAAAAAAACGAAAAGTTTTGTCACAGACAACCTTCGTTCTATTGAAAACCACAATACTCGTTACGAACAAGGTCTTGAATTCTACTTCGCAGGTATGTGATTTAGTAAAATTTATTTTCTAACCTAAGTTCATGTTTCGACTTGGTATCAACCAATTCGCTGACACACGCTGAATTCAAAGCCATGTTTGCTCTTCAACGCGCCAGTAAACCTGAATTCAGCCCTAACATCATATTCAAACTTCCTGAATGAGCTTCTTTTCCGGACTGCATACGATCCTTCAATTGAAGCAGGAATAGACCATGTCACTGTTATTGGATATGGTACCGAAAAAATCGAACTTACTACTGGACCGCCAAGAACTTATGGGATCATCCTTGGAGTGAATTTGGTTTTTTCGGAATGTTGCCTGGCGTTAACCTCTGTGGTATTATCACTGAAATCACCTACCCCATAATATAAATGGTGTAACTAAGATGAAGTATATATTAAAATGAATATTACATTATCTTGTTTGTAATCATGAATGTGATATTAATAAATATTTAAATAAATAAATAAATAATTTATTAAATACTTAATACATGTTTCACATGTATAGATTAAGTCTACAAAAACAGTACGTATAATATCTAATACTTAACTTTTAATAACAATATTCATATTAAAAATACATAATATATATAAAGGAAACTGTTGCGCTAAATTTAAATGTCTCTACTAGAAAATTCCTCAATTTGTTTTTAAATATCTTTGGTTCGGACATTTGCCTAATTATAAGAGGTAAGCCATTGTATAATTTCACACCAACATAATACACATTACTTTTCACTGTTGTTAAAGAATGTATCGGATATATCAGGCCATCGCATGGCGTCGAGTTGAATAATCATGAAACTGCTTATTTTGAGAACATTTTTCAAAATTATTCCTGACAAACATCAATACCTCAAACATATGTAAAGACGACACAGTTAACATACGATTTTTTTAAAAAAAAAGGGCGACAGGTAGACATTCTACTCAAACCAGCAATTGTTCTGACTATTCGTTTCTGAACCCTAAACACTCGCAGTATATGCGAAGAATTGTCCCAAAAAAACTATAGCATATTTCACGCGACTATAGAATTGGGCATAATAATATGAACAAATAACTTCCATGGCTGCCATCTGTTTTAATCTGTATATAGCATAAGAAATTGATGTTAATTTTTTACACAGTTCATTAATGCGAACATCCCAAGAAAGCTTATTGTCCAAGTGTACACCCAAAAATTTAACATGCTGTTCTTGTTTTATCGATTTACCGTTTACTTTAATTAAATGTGATTCATTTATCGTACGTGTAGAGGGTGGAAAAGTAACAAAGCTAGTTTTTTGTGCATTCAGGAACAATTTGTTAGTGTAAAACCAATTATAAAATTTAGAAAGCATATCTTGTGTTATTGAAACTGCTCTATTAATATTCTTCCCTGAAGCCTTGTAACTGGTGTCATCCACAAACATTACAATACTCCTATCACCACATACTTCCGGTAAATTATTAATGAAAATCAAGAATAAAAGATAACCCAGGACTGATCCCTGTGGTACACCACAAGAGAGTTTCAGTTGCCCAGATCGCGCATCTCCGATCTCTACCATCTGCTGACGGTCAGACAGATAAGACTTCAACCATTCGTGCATTTTACCCCTCAAGCCACAATGATAAAGTTTCGACAAAAGTATTATGTGATCTACATTTGTACAGACTAGGCGATTGCTGTTTAGTATTGAAAAGATAATCTAGAAAATCAGTTTCATATTTTTATGAAGCAGAATATAAAAATGACTTGTATAGAATATGAATCGAGATTTGTTAAATAGTCATCAGCCACCATTGAGCCATTTTTGAGTTTACTTTTCTTATATCCTACATTAATCTCTCTAGGCCACCTGTTATCCAATTTGCAATTATACAGAGTGTAAATAAACATGTGTTCAAAAGTGGGTGCTTGATTTTTTAAAAATTATGTAGAATTTTTTTGATCTGTTGCTTTACTACACAGTTTTTGGCTTATACCATATCGGCAAGAGAAGTGTTGAGCCACTATAGCGATCTTGTAAGTCGGAGATAGAAAAATTAATCCGACGCTATATTAAGCCATCTAGTTTTCTCCATTGTGCAGATATGTCCATATTATTTTAATTTGTTGCTTCTATGGTATTTATAGCACTTGTTATATTCTTTGGACACCTTCTCCAATCTTCTATTTCCGTTTCAAACAAGCTCTTTTTCATTTGCTCTGTGGTTTCCCAAACCTCTGGTCCAAGTGCCCCATATATCACAATACTTTCAGCTTTTGTTTTATTTATTTATTTCAGTCAGTTTATAATCATCTGCTGATGATGCTAACATGGTTAGCGAAACGCGCGTCCAGTGTAAAAGTAAAAGTGTTTTGGTGTATTGTGGTGATTTAGTGTTTTTATTTTGCTGTGTAACACCAAAGGTTCCAACCCTCAATTGTAATTTTATTTATTTGCTTCAATTTTGGTAGCATCTTTTTTATTTGGTTGGTCCACAAAACTGAATTTAGCTGTCGAGTTTCAATAACGGGCGTTCCGCTAACATAGTTAGCGTCATCGGCAGATGATTAAAACTAAACTAAAAAAATTGTATGCCTTTTTAAGCGGAACGCGCGTCTAGCGTTAAAGGTATTTTATTTTATTATACTGAACTAGTGTTTTATTTCGCTGTTGGAACACCAAAGGTTCCAACCTCCAACTGTAATTACACATTCCATTTTTTATCTCAACAAAAATTAATTATCGGCTTCGTGCATTTCAGTTGATTTTAAAAAATTCGAGAGTAGCGCTCGGTACGACAGAAATCAGAACTTTCCAGTTTGACACTTTGTTCTCTGTAGAGCAATACTGACTCATACAGCAATACTGATTTGACATTCGAATTGAAAATGTTAATTATTGGAGAGACAAAACGACCGCTACATGTACGACTTGACGATAAAAAACATACGCATAGAGGTGAAGCAATGAAGTCGGACATTGCAGATCATGTATGGTCCAAGCACCACAACATAAAATGGTCAGAAGCCCGGATTATCAACAAAGAACCCCATTGGAAAAAGCGCACCTTTAAAGTGACCGTATTTATTTCTAACAATAATAAAATCTTTAGCAATTCAATTATGGAAATTTCAAGAATATGGCAACCACTCATAAAAAGCTCCAATGCAATGCAGGTATTCTTAGTGGAGAACCTCATGCTTGACTGCATCCAACTAATTCACGGGTAAATGCTCGGCTGTAGTATAATGTATAAGCTCAGTAGTTTTAGGATTTAGTTTAGTTCACACTTAATAACGGTCAGTGATACTTCTGACCGAAACGACGTGTAAGCAAAAATAAATAAAGACAATGGAAGTCCGAAATTCTTTTAGTTTTAATACTGAATCATTGTCTACCACATTCTAACCACTTTTTAAGTCGTGTGCAATATGTTTTTCCCAACACTCATTACCAATTATATTAATAACCTGTCATGTCCTGCCGAAGTTAAGTACAATCGCTTAACAAAATTTCTAGACACGATAAAAGTGGTTGGTGGAACAAAAGTCAATATTATTTTTAAGTAGCTGTAAAACTCTATATATTATTATTGCTTAATATTATTAAATGATGACACTTATGGTGCATTATGTATTATCAGCAGTCCTAAGAGCCTAATTGAATTATCTCAAAAGGTTTTAACTCTAGTAGCAGTAATATATTGGTTTTAAATTATCTGGATGAAGGTTTGAAATTGCTTCACTTTCAAATTTCTTCAATGCTAGCGATGATCGAGACTGGTACTGATCCTGGCATTAAAAGCAAGACCAAGAACAGTACCCACCAATACATTTATTAAGGTCAAGGCTAAGCTTCCAACACTATTTCGGTCGTCCAATTTTTGCCGTTTATATGATATAAAAAATTACTTATTTGTTTTAAAATTACTTTATTTTTTTTAATTGTTATCTTATTCATCAAAATTATACTTTTAATTTATTACGAATAGTGTTTTACCGACTATTGTCTAAAATATTAAGGAAATAAATCCCGAATCACTATAATATATTGAAACGTAAAATTTTTCCTAAAACCAATATTCCGATAATTTCATTAAAGTTCTATTTGAATCCTATTACGAAAAATATTATTTATTTAAACGGAATATGCATCTAGTAAAAATCTATTGAAAAAATGCAAGACTTGCAAGTCTTACGAAAGATCAAGACTACTGCCTTTAGACCAAGACCAAGCTACTGCCTTAGTTGAAGCCTGTACCTTTAGTAAATCCAAGACCAAGCTAGAATAATTAGTTTGATAAACTCTCCTCTTATGTGATAACTTAGTCTTAATTTTTTTGTAGCATATTAACGAGCAAAGTTGTTACAAGATAAATGGTTTCAAGGCCTTTAAGACGTGGGATAATATTATACGATCTTATACCAGATTAATATTGGGTGCTTAACTGTACTAACTGTTTGACTGATACGTTTTTTGGACACCGTGTAGGTAGTAATACTAGCGACTCTGTATATTGGTCGATTTGTTATTTTTTTTGAGAGATTAATTTTTTACTAATTAAAACTTCAGTGGTCGGCATTTTCAAGGGCCCCTTTATCGTATTCATCTCAATATTTCGTAGTATAAATACCCATCAAAATTGTAATAATTTATTGTTCCAGTACCTTCCAAACAATAAAAATGAAAGGTTTTATGGTAGTCAGTTTATTTATTGTAGCCGTCAGTGCTTCTCTACTTGAGCAGGACGGTGCCAAGTTCCAAGCTTTCAAGGTAAGATTATATTTTGGAAAATTTAAACCTGCTATTTGATACAAAAATATTTCTGTGCATTGTGCAGTTGGAACATGGCAAGACTTACCAAAACCAAGCCGAAGAAACCCAACGCTTTGCCATCTTCAGAGAAAATCTTCGTTCTATTGAAAGCCACAATGCTCGTTACGAACAAGGCCTCGAATCCTACTACGAAGGTATGTGATTTTGAGAAAAATATTTTCACAGCTAAGTTCAGGTTTTAACTAGGAACCAACCAATTCGCTGACATGACACACGACGAATTCAAAGACATGCTCGCCCTTCAGGCTGCCGGCAAACCTGCCTTCAGCCCTGACACCGTATTCGAACTTCCCGAGGGAGCTACTGTTCCCGACTCCATTGACTGGAGAGACCAGAATGCTGTTGCACCCGTTAAAAACCAAGGATGGTGTGGATCGTGCTGGGCTTTCGCCATTGTAAGTATTTTATGTCGGCCTGGAAACTATTCTTGAACCACTTTTTAGCCGACCATACCAACAGGTATGGTAGGCTATTCAGATCGGCAAAAAAAAGTTTTTATAATTTCACTCAAAATGAAGTTATTTGGGTCATAAATGACCTAAATACAAAATATTTTCATGGTTCTGTCTGTCTGTCCGTCTGTAACACGATAACTCGAACTTTGGCAGAACGAAATTTGGCAGAAAAATACTGTGACACCAGAGAATCTGGCCATTAGTATTTAGTGGGGTTGAGGGGTTGGTAAGGGGGTATGGGAGGGGATTAAAAATTTTAAAAAATCGTAACTCCAAAATTACAGTAGCTAGCGAAACGCGGTTTTCTTTTAAGATTAGGAATAATATTTGCAACAAAATTTGTAATACCATCAAAATCAGTCAAAATCGCAGTTGTTGAGATAAAAAAAATTGAAAAAATTCCTTTACTTTGAAACTAAAAGAACTGCCTACCAACTTTTTAGTAACAGATTTTAGTATGGGCGGCTGTAGGTGCCTCCCGGTGCCAATTTTTTTTATTCTTGTCAATAAATTCATGTTATTCATAGCAGAGCTGCAACAAGTCAGTTTTAAACAGACTTAAGGGGCCCACAGACGGTCAATATGTTTGCGCAATAATATTGCCCAATAATATTGTTAGTTACCTATCTCCAAACAGTACAATAAATTTGTTCAATAACTAGTTTGTTTTGCACTTTGGTTAACACGGATAAGAAAAAACAAGCTGCTATTGCTTATCGTCAAGTATTTTTATAAGTCTGGGTATTTTTCCTTATATTTCCCTAGTAGTTCATCATATTGTTCATTTTTTTTATTTCTGTTGCTATATTCTTTGCTTTTTGTATTCCATAAAGCTGGCAAAGAATGGTACATTTCGATGACTTCTAAAATAAATTTGCTTTTGATCCCATATTTGCTGACAAACCACTGGTCTAAATATTCTAAATAGAGCCGAGCAGCGAGACAAACACACAGAAAAAACAAAAATATACTGAACTATTGTGCAATATTATACACACGATACAAACTAATCACTATTGCACAATAAAAATCAAACTGTTTTTGATTGACACAATATATTGTGCAACCTTTCAATGTAAACCCTAAACGGCCAATATTATTATTGCACAATATCAAATATTCAGCACTAATATTGACCGTTTGTGGGACGCTTTAAGTCTTAAGTAATTTCTAAAATTAAAATCATTTATGTCTTGAGTTTTTGACTTAAATCATTTTATTTCAAGTCAAGTCATTTTTGTAGAGACTTAAATCAATATAACGTTGTTTAAGTCGTTTTTATGACTTAAATTTATATTTTTGACTTAAATCATGATAATCTGCAAGTTAAGTCAGTAAAATGGCTTAAATCAATATAAATCAAGATAAACCAGACTTATCCAGCGATATAGAGATATTAGCGATGTTCTTACTAGTATAATACTATTAATTTATTGTTGATACAGATGAGACTAAAACCATATAAAATAAAACGGTTAATTTTCATAACAACTACAAACACACAAATATGTTTTTTTTTTCTAAAATTTATCGAATTTTGTAATACTTATTATTACCATTACAATTTAGATGTTATCGAATACATGTCTATTAAAAAGGGGTGATGTGTTTTTATCACTATGTAATATATCGATAGCATAAGCTAAGGGTTGGAAGATTTTTAGGTACTCTTCAATATATTCGAGAAAAATTCCTTTCGTCTTTCGGGCTACACAACGGAGTCGGAGATTCACTTGAAAGACAACAGACTCACTACGCACGCGTAACACGACAAATAATCAAAACCGGTTCGGAAAAGCTTTTTTTTTATTCTGCTGCTTGGCTGCCGCCTTACAGTTTAAAAAGGAATGCTGATGGCACAAATTTATCATAAAAATTTGATTTAAGCATTTTCTAACAAGACCTAAATCTTTTTAATGAATTAAGCCTTTTCTAAAAAGACTTAAATCTTTTTCTATTTCGGAATAAATATTTAAATCACAAGTCATTTTAAAACAGACTTAAATTTTAAGTGTTAAGTCAGCTTTCGAAAAATGACTTAAGTCATTAAAAAATCACTTAAGTTTTCGGTGAGCTCGCAGCTCTGATTCATAGTGAGTGCGTATTCTCTCTGCAGTTTATTCTTATCCGTATATAATTTCCAATAAAATTTTAGATTGCCTCTACCGAAGGAGCTTATGCTATCAAGACTGGAAACCTTACTAGATTTTCCGAACAACAACTTGTTGACTGTACTACTGATGTTAACATAGGCTGCAGCGGTGGAGATTTAGAGATTACCTTCCCTTACATTCAAGAAAACGGTGTTGAATCCGAAGAAGACTACCCATACGAAGGTAAGATATACCGTACTGGCAACTATTAATTTTGGGTTGGTATTTACATGTGTGGAAATAAATCGCAGAGATTTTATTAAGTCGGAGTGAGAAAAATACGACGGTGTGCTGTTGCGGCGTTGTTACATTTCTCCGGTACGGCTTTCTCTATCAAGTAAAGTAAAATCACGATCGCAACCGCCTATTTCTAAAAGATTTTTTTTTTCGAAAAGATAACTAGATAAAATTATTAGAAATGTTTCTGAGCATCTGAAATGGAATTATAAGGATATCGTTAGGGTGTCCATTTTTTTATAATGCGAAAATTCCAGTAATCGCGATAATTTAAAAACTCAACTTTTTAACAATAACAAGCGATAACTCAAGAGCTACTTTAGATATCGAAACTTTTTTTATTTTGAAATTCGGATTTTTTTTTAATCTGATTGGCTTGTTTTTTTTCAATCAAAATTAAAAGAAACATCCATTTTCTTTTATTGCATTGCAAATTTCAGCAATCGTGTAACTTTTTTATTTATTACGATTTTCACATACCGTCTGCGAAGAAAATATAGCAGAAATATTATGAAAGTTTTTGAAAAAAGCTACAATCAATTATATTATTTCTAATGGATTTTGAGTTATCGATTTTTGAATTCAGAGTTCTAATAGTACAATTCCACTTATTTTTACCAAATGTGCAAGTGTTTCTAAATTGCACTTAAAAATTGACAAGCTGTAGGAAAAATTACAACGACTCGTTAATAAATAAACAAATAGAGTATCACGAGGTGTAATTAAACCGTGATGCTGAACACATGATGTCACTCTTTGTCAATTTTAAGTATTGATACGGTACTTATTGGGTCGACCGGTCGACCGCGATGTATCTGCTATATCCCCTTCCACGTCTCTTAGCAATGTGTACAGTTTCTCGGTTTATTTCATATGTTTGGCAACGTTTTACTATTCTCTCTTTGTTCAGTACATTATAAACGCATTGTAGTCTTCTTACATACAGAAATCTCGACCCAAGACTAACCTTTGCCAGCCCTTAGTATAGGATATTCAAGGTGATTCTCTAAAACTGCCAAAGTTTAAAATGTTTTATTTTACATAGAACCGTACTTTGCTTTTACCTCCATCTACGGTTACGTAGACGAGCAAGCTTGATATAACATCTTTAGTTCTTTTAATTTAAAAGATCGACTAACTTTACATTATCTTTAGTTTAAATTTATTATTTCTTTCTTCAAAGACTTGATGTAATGTGAGTTCGCATGTATGTTGGTTGTGTTTGTGATTTTAGTGTTTCATAATGCCAGCCATGTTTAAAATACCTCACATGCACCTAGCCCTTGAAGAAAGAAATAATAAATTCCGAAAGCGCTTGCCTAGTAATAGAATGGCTCGCCAACCACTATACTTCTAAGACAGCCCTAGACAGTACCGAATTCTCCAAGAAAATGTCTATTTTTTTTAAATATCAAAACTATATCACTTTTACTCATTAAAATCATGTCATATTAAAATTTAGCTAGGATTCCTATAGGGTTTAACAAGCGGGACTTCTCGTTTAATCCTAAAGAGTATTCTCCTATGGTCGGAGAAGGATCTCTCCAGATCAACCCTCCAATCCTCGACTATCAAACCCCGTCCCTCCGTGGTCAAGGTTAGATCTAAAACTTCCTGCCTAATTTTATTTGCAAACGTTGGCGTGCTCTGTTGCATAGTAAGGTTATTAGAAAGTATAAATCCATTATTGTCTCTTCATTGATATCCTTGCTTCCCCCATTGGACGTGATGGCCGTTGGCGTCACATCTATCACCAGCTGTTGGCCCATTCTTCTGGCTACCAGACAGATTTCGGACCGCTTCCGGCGGGGATTCTCTTCGTCGTATGGCGTAGACCAGTAGTTTGAACCCCCTTTTGGTCCTCGCACGTAGCCCATAGATCGTTTGTGCTGTAATGGGATGGCAATGTAAGCTTTGGTGCTCTTCTTGCTACTATACACGTCTCTTTTTTACCTGTAATCTGTGGGTGAAGTAGAATGTATTCTTTTGACCTCAGTCCTGGATTTTGTCTCTTGCGATCCATGGTTCCTGGACTAAGGCACGTCCACCTTCTTTCACTCATGAGACAGCATCAAAATCCTCCGTCGCGGCCTCCTACGGTGGTTTCAGATAATCTGAACCACCCGCAGCTCCTAGTTGACTTGGTGCCGCTCTTGTCGTTAGGAAGCCTCGCCTTTGCGGCCCCGAGACCAAATTAACTTCCTTCCGATTTCAAGCGATCTAGTGATGCCTCGTCCAATGGCGTCACTATATCCCTTCCTTTTTCCGTTTGGACTGGCGACTGATGAGACTACCCTCCAGTCCTGTGTCCATAGGTTCTTATTTATCTTAAAAGATCTTCATCGTTGTCTCATCCTTCTCCGGTACTGGAGGAGGGATCCATAATGAATCGTTTTCTTAGGGGCAGTTGCGATCTGGAATGACCTCTAGGCTCCACAGCCAGATGTCGTTGCAGTTGCGGATTGCCTTGCGTTAAGTCTCGCGACAGCTGTTGCTGCAACCCACAACTGACACCTTTCTGCCATCAGCCCCGTCGAATCACTTCCTCGTCGCGCTGCACTCCTCGCCTCGGCGATAGCCATCAGATCCTCGACTCAACCGCCATCCCACCTTTCGGGCGTCATTTGCCATCTAGAATCAGCTCGATCAATGACAGCGACCTGACATTCGTCCGGCGAATCGAAGCTAGTCGAGGTTTAGCCCTTTTGCTACGTTTCCTTCTCCCTCATGAATACGACCCCTTTTAACGGTATCTTTTCAGATTTTTGGTTTTTGGGGGTCTGCTGACTGGAGATTCTAGCGTCGGACCTCTGGAAGCCTTCTCACGATTTGGAGGACGGCTTCTCCCTTCCTCAGAATCACCTCCATTTTCTTTGACTGTTGAGACCTCGAATTTGGAGATTTTCTCGTTGAGCTTGATGAGGTTTTCTTTCCCGTTCGGTCCAAGTCTTCCCTTCTTCCAAGCTGTCTTTTTCAAAAAAGTGAGCGTTTCAGTAGACTTTTTGGCCTTGGAACGCCGTTAGACTTTCTCTTGATGCTTTTCCCTTGGCTAAGTGTAACTGAGTTATGAGCAGCCCCTCCTCGGAGTCAGGTCTATGGAGAGATCATCATCGGTTGTCCTCCGATCTCCATATTCTCAGTCGAGGAGATACTCCCCGGCGCCTTGCCTTGGGTAGCATTCTCCTGTACGCAGCCCGGCTTGGGAAGATCCAGCAAGCCAAGTGTACCACTGCTGGATCACTGTCGTCGTGTGAAAATAGGCCCCAAGAATCCGAATGGGGGCTCAGCCACCTCTCAGTGGAGGTGGGAGGATTTCCCAAAGTTGGGCTACTCCTGTGGGGTAAAATGTTCCTTTTCACACCCTTCCATATCCTTGGTTTTTGGTTGAGATGTTGTTGCACTCAGCTGTGAGTTCGGATCGCATGCCGCGAGCTCGATGATGATGCAGTATGAGCTCAATGCCCAGCAGGCCATCTCTCTACCCGCTGAACCATTGCTGCCGTTAGCCCTACTGGGGTTGCGTCTATGTGCAATGACGCCATTCAGCGTTTCCCATTCCACGCGAACGAGGACGCCGGCAGTTGGAATTTGTGGAACAGTTGGAATTTGTGGAACAAAGGTATGTAACCTTGCGTTTTTTTTTCAATAAGGGTAAATTTACGATCACAAGGAAGGAATGAATGACCTCTTTCAGGAAATCGGTGGTATATTATATTAAACCTTCCAGTTGCGACCAAAGCAGATAACATCTGAACAACAACCATGTTCTTGTTCTGTCCAACACAGTTATTCGTGAAGATGTACAGCGTCTGCTTAGAAAGGATTATGGACGGTCAACATAATATTTAAAAAGATACTGTCTCATTCCTTGCCACCCTTCGACTTCATTGTATATGTACATATCGGAATTACCCGTTTTTTGCCGAATAAAACGTTGTTGAAAACCGCAGCTGCCTTTTATAAAAAAATATCAGTGATGAGTACGAATTGCTGGCAAAGTTTTACTGGTAGTCGAAGCTGATAACATCCACTGTTTCGTTCGTTTTAGCTTTTGCCAACTGATTCAGATCGTCTTAAAATGTTTGCGCTTTAGCTAGATGTAGAGTGCTCTCGATTTAATCTAGATTTTCTTCAGGATTTTCGCCACATCTATTTGATTTTTGAATTTGTTACATGTGCAGACATCCATTTTAGGTTTTCAAACGAAGATTAAATTTACTGTTGAATATGTGAAGGTAAAATTCATAGTTTATTTCAAACTTTGTGCTCTTATCAGCTTTCCATTGAATATATTTTTCAGGTTCATACCTTTCAACATACACCTGGTGCATTTTCATGATACTCAATTCGGGCGACAGATATTTTCATTCGGATTTATTTCTGGTGTAGTGAGAGATGCGAACGGGAAACGAATTTATATGTGACGTAATTTGTCGGATTTGGTCTTCTGATTTTTTTAGTGCCCTAGATCCTTCTGATAAACCTCTTTTGTCAATCGGAGGAGTGGAATTATTTTTCTTTGCTAGCCCTATTCGATCAATTCTACCAAACTTGATGCCATGAAGTCCCGCGAAAGCTTTTTTGCAAACAATTTGTTCGCGTACTGATGCTAATACAACCTACCTACGACATAAAAAACTATGTTAATAACATAGTACAATCGGCCGGCCAATACCTCCTAAAAGTTCTTACCTTGTAATGAAAAGATGAGTTTCGTTTTGATGCTTCAATCAAATCGGCATCGGACACAGCATTATTTGCATTCGAATTACCTTTTTCACGTAGCCGCTTTCTCATAATGTCTGGTCGTCTTCTGAAAAAAAAATTGGAAATTTCCCTTGTTTTGTTTTGTTTTTTTTTCCTATTTATTTTATTCATATTAAATAGTTTAAACATTAAATACCGAAGTATCTAGCTACCTTGCAACAGACTTCACAGTTATTAGCCCAAATAGGTAAGAATCTTGCACATTTTTAACAGCCAAATCGTTGAATTTGCTAAGAATGCTTGTTTTTTCTTCGAATGATATTTTACTTGTGCATTGATTTTTGCAGCTACATTCATAACCCTGCCTTGCAGGGACATTTCTTCCGGTTGTGGAAATGTATGCCAGTCCGCTATTGAGGTTACGTTTCCTCTGAACACTTTTCCAGAGACTTTTATTTTTTTTTCTCTTCCTTGTTTTGTTCTCTTCAATAATTTCATCACTCTCGGTATCACTTTCAACACTATCACTATTATCTAAATCGTCGCTCATTATCTCGGGATCCTCTCTCTGTCGCCATAGTAAACGTCAAACGTAAATAAACGAAAATATGAGAATGACAGTTGGGTAAAAACCGGATATACCTAATTTTCATTCTCAATTGCCGAATCGGATATATATTTGCGCCATCCTTTGGCAAAACTATTAAGCGGTTATGTCTAGTTCTCGATCTAAGAGTTGTATTGGGTGTATATGAAAGGAAATCAGGCAAAAACCGCTTTTGGTAAAAAGTGGTTTTTACCGACTTCTCATTCTGGGGTACTCAATTGTATTTACATACTTATCGCCAAAAGATTAATTCCGAAATAAAGTTATTTTCCAAATAAATTTGATATTTATTTCATTTAAATTGTTAGTACTGATCCTATGCGATTAAAATCGACCCAAACTTTAAACAAAGTGACATATTATTAAATCATTAAGCATTGCACTTCAAAATATAAAGAAAGGCGTGAAATAAAAAGAATGTATTTGAAAAACAAAAGAAAAACTAACTAATAAACAAATATATATTTCTTTAAACCAAATAGGCAGCATTTTTATTCTAAATCTACTAACAATGACAATGATCATGTATGTTTTATATGTATGAATATATGCATAAAATCAATAGATGTCTTATTAATTCAATTATGACCATTAATGAGGCCAAAATATATTTGAATTTATTTGATTCATTCTCATTATTTTTAATTTTACAACGTTTTTTCTCTCAGTCTTGTACTATGCACTGGCCATTGACAAAGAGCTTTTTAGTGGGTTCTGTCTCGAAGATGCAAGACGTTTTGAAAATGATAGGACTGATGGAGAACGTGACCTAGAGATCAGAACAGAGCCAAAATAGATCTGAAAAGGTCAAACAGCAATAATGTTAACATAGCCACCTCCAAAAATATAATCTAATCAACTAGATTAGAGACATGTAAGAGGAAGATGCCTATATCTGCTATATTAATAAATTCTCTGACGTGACGTTGCATGTCCTTGCAAAAAACCGATATTATATTGTGTCGAACAACACGTGATGCGTTTTTATTTACTTAACTTCGATATGTAATTATAGAAGTTAAGTATCACGCTGTCGCGTTGTAATATTCTAAAATACGTACCTAGTTAGTTTTTATTCGTTAATTTATCTACAAGTGCTCTTTAATGTTCTAGTATTTAAGTGATATTTGTATCCTGGATCTAAACTTTTCCTTCGAGAACCTCATTTATCTGAACTTGAGTAATGTATTTTAAGCTCTCACGGATACTAAAAAGATAATATGTATGCAGTGTCTGCGATATATTAATTTTTCCTAAGTGATACTATGTGACTGAATCATAAGATCCCAGTTTTATTGCATTATTAAAATTATTGGAACTCACTGTAACCTACAGAAAAAATAAGTTTCCTAACGCAATCTTTTGGTGTTTGACATTGTACATGGAACCATTGACACTGAAATAATGTGTTCTCTGGTAGTGTCTGCATTGGTAGTGGGAACTATCGAATGAATACTATCGAAACATTCGATAGTTGCAATTCATTCGAATAATTCGATAGTTAGTAAGAAAACATTCGTTGAAAACTATTCGAATAAAAATTATCGAATAGATCCGTCATCTGTCTTGAAATATTATATTCTAGTAATTCGGCAGCAAAAACCATTCATTTATAAAATTCATTCATTTATGAAATTCATTTATTCGTCAGGATCGATTAACTGAATTTTAGTTGTCGCCCGGGGACGTAGGTTTCTTTCCGAGAAACCCGACAGCGGTCGGTGGCAATTATCAGGTGGCAGATCTAGATAAGGACACATTATTTTTTTTTATTGAGGTGCTAGTATTTACACAGAAAATACATTATGAAGGGCGCTGTTGCCATATTTTGGTTTGGTAGGTGATTTATATTACTATTTAAAAATTATATTTACTTTTACTGGCATTTACTTTAAAAAATAAATGAAATATTTCTTCGCAAAAAACTACATGTAAGAGAATTACCATAAACAAAATACAAACATCGTTAACTTTTTTTTTAAATTGGCACGTGTAAAACTTTCATTTTAATTTTCTCACCCCATAGTTTGAGTTCGATAACCATTTATTTAACCACATTACTTATATATAATTATTAAGTTCAACTAATTCATATTATTAAAACATCTAAAATACAAATATGTATTTTTAAAATTAATTGTAAGTTCATCTCATCTCTCTTAAAAATTGCTATTTCCAAAATTTCTCATTAAAAAATAGACCATATACCATATAAAATTAAATAATTGAAAGACCAGACTACGGAAAACCACATAAATTATCGGAAAAATTTTGACCACCTGCACATGCTCACAATCGTCAATAAATAAAATTAAAAAGTAACTACTATTTTAGTATTTTAACTATTTTAATAAATGCAAAAATAGCACAGTATTTATACGGCGAAGTTATAAAAATTTGGAAGAACCAATAATGCACTGACGCATACAAAAATCAAACGAATACTAAATTTCATTTATCAAAAGCATTCGATAGTCGTGGCTCAACGATAAACATTTAGTCGCACGGCTAGATTGTCACATATGCTTTAGTTTACAAATGAATGAATGATTTTATTCGAATAAAACCATTCGATAGTTGAAATCATTCATTCATTAACCATTCGATAGTCTAATTCATTCGATAGTTCCCATCGCTAGTCTGCATACTATCTATAGTCAGTATACGATACATACCTAGATTTGTAGGATTAGGATTTTTTTTAATATTAATATAGGTATGAGTCTCTAAACTTATTTTCTACAGCACTAATTTTAAGTTAATATATTTTAAATGCATTACAGTTGGAGGTTGGAACATTTTGTGTTACACAGCAAAATAAAACACTAAATCACCACAATACACCAAAACACTTTTTACTTTTACACTGCACGCGCATTTCGCTAACGATAATAACTTTTGGTGTATTGTGGTGATGTTTTATTTTGCTTTTTAGATGCATACAACAGAGCAATTTTAATGTAAATAAGTTAAAAAATAATAACAATTTCCAATGACAAATTTTCTTGATGATAGGTATATCTACAGAAGACTTACCACGACATGTGCATTACTGATATAAGAAAGAAAACACTCGTTTTGATCTGTTTTTTATCGATCCACTAAAAGATAGGACTCCATTAATAAATTGTAAATAAGTAAATTGACTGAATATGTACCCCGCCGCACCGGCGCCGTCACCTGTCCTTTGTACCCCTTCCTCCCCTGCTTTACTATACCTTATTTCTCCGTTATATGATCTATAATATAAGATTATAGTGATTGCTATATACAGAGTCGCTTTTATGTATGGAAACGGTCGATTATTAGGTAAAATATAGGAGGTACCGCAAAAAGTTAAATACAAAAGTTATAGGATTTTTAAATATCTATTAGCGAATAATAAATTTAAGTATAAAGGCTTGTTCATAAAGTCGTGGCACATCAAAGTTTCATTTTTTTAAATAGAACCCCCTGTATATTATTACGTATTTCAATTCTTCCTTCATTTCTAAGCAAAAATCGAGATACATACAATGTACCACAAACCAACCGTTTCCGAGTTATTGACTTTTGAAAATATCACTTAAACTGTTCTATTTAATTAATTTCGATGTGTTTTGTTTGATTTAACGATGCCATTTTGCCTAAACTGTGTTTAATTGTAATGTATGTTTAATTGTTCAATGTAGATAAATTAAAGAATTGCAATTTTAAACGAAAATTTTGTAATTTCCAGACTTGCTTCTTGCTATACTCTTATTTTATACATCTATAAATGCTAACTTGAGAACTAATGTTAAATATTATTAAGTATCACAGTTTAGGCAAAATGGCATTGTTAAATGAAACTGAACATATCGAAATTAATTTAATCAAATTGTTTAAGTGATATTTTCAAAAGTCAATAACTCGGAAACGGTTGGTTTGAGGTACATTGTTTGTATCTCTATTTTTGCTTAGAATTGAAGGAAGAACCGAAATATGTAACAATATACAGAAGGCTGTATTAAAAAAAAACTTTTTTGTGCCACGAGTTTATGACCGACCCTGTATACTTAAATTTATTACCCGCCAATAGAGATTTATAAACCCTATAACTTTTATATTTAACTTTTTGCGGTACCTCCTATATTTTACCTAATAATCGACCGTTTCCATACACAAAGCGACCCTGTATATCCTGCAACTCAGCAACAAGATTATTTTTAGCAACCTCTATTCAAAGGTTATGCCAAGTCAGTTTTTAGTTAGTTTTTAAATGCAGTTTGTCCATTTTTTAAGCTTTTCAACCAAAAGTGGCATTTCAAACTACATACACAGATTTACAATATGATGCCAGAAACGAAATGTTAAATACATTTTACCCCATTAGAATTAAATAGCGAAAATACCTTAGACCGCAGTTTAAAGAACATAAATATTCTTTAAACTGTGCTTAGACTTTCTATGTGCTGTGTGTCTATTGGCGGTAGACAAACAAACAAAAATATGTCCTTGTGTGCTACATACTACACACTGCTGTTTGCTTGTCATTACCAGATGAAGAGTTATTTTTATACTACAACTTCTCTATTTTTTGAATAATACTACCGTGGTAGCAGAAAAATAAAGATACATTTTAAACGTCTAAAGGACAGTCAACAGTTTTTTATTTCAATTTTTTCACAATTATCAAAACTAGATTTTTCACATATAGCTGTACTATTTTTTTTTCTTTGTCAAAATTCGAAAAAATGTATAAAATGCATCTAGAAAGTTTGCTCCTCGTATATTTTAATAATTTATATGATAAATATTAGTGAAGTGAGAATCAACTGTTGGGGGAATTTTTGGAACTTTATTACCTAGTAATATACTACTTTATTTTGTTGTATGCTTTTTAATGGGACATTTTTTGTTTTAAAATTTAAGTTATCCTTATTTTCAAGAGCCACTTTATCTTAAATTGTCTCTAATATTTATTACTATAAATACACTTTGAAAAATTGAACAATTGATTATTCCAATATCTTTCGATCATCAAAAATGAAAGGTTTTCTGTTGGCTAGCTTTTTAATAGTTGCAGTGAGTTCTTCTCTGCTTGAGCAGGATGGCGCCAAGTTTCAAGCTTTTAAGGTAAATATTTTTTTCATGAACTATTTGCTATAAAAATATATCTTTACTTTAAACGTTAAAAAATGACGAGGTTTGCACATTGATAACAATACCGGGTGATTTTCAAAAGTGAGTCACCCCTATAACTTTTTTTTCAGATTAAAAACGAAATTTGGTATGTTAGTATATAACATAAAGGAGGATTGATTGGGGTATTCAATTAGTTTCGTTCACTTCCTGTTTCACCAGAATGTATTAGAACTTTTGGTTTTTAAATAGTACCGTCGGTATTTTTTACCATACTTGGATAGAAAATGGCATTCTAAATAGAATGACTTATAATGTGTCAACTTTTGACATCTTTTCTTAAAATATATTGTATTTTAAATTTCAATCTAGTGTGCCACCGAAAATGTTAGTTTGAAAAAAATACCAAGTATATGGTAGCAAATTATTCATGAAAAATGCATTTTCCAAATATACACCCCTCTTTCCATTTAAAAAAAATGAGTTATGATTAAAAATATGATTTGGGAAAATTTTAACTGGCCAGGAAAACACACTTAAACAGCTCCTTGATTAAAAATGAATGATTTTAACACAACTACGGCACTGTTAATGTATAAGTAATGTTTTAAGAGAAATGTTGACATATTAGATGTCATTCTACTCAGAATTTTATTTTCTATCGAAAAAATTTGAAAAATATGGAGGATTCAATTTAAAAATCCAAAGTTGTAGTTATTTCCGGTGAAACAGGTAGTAAGTTAAGTTATAGGAGTGAACCATTTTAAAAAACAACCGGTATATGAAGTAACACATTTTTTCATATTCTTATGTTACGATAACGCCATGCGCAAACTAATTTGCGCACTATTAAAAATCAGCACATAATGGTAATGCTAAACTTTTTGTACAGTGTTGTCCACTTAATATGCAACATATATGATTTTTTAAGTCCTATCCAAATGGGAAAATTGTCAAAAGTTAGTGCATGTCCGATAACAGTATCAGCGGTACTTAGAATGACTACAAATGAAACAACCTACATGATGGGCCAAAAAACGTACGTAATTTCGCTTGTGTCAAGGTAAAAACGAATGAACTGGAAGGTTTGTACAACTATTTTTCACATATTGAGCTTGAATTAGTTAAGTACCTGGCATAGGAAAATCCTAAACATAAATTTAGTCCCCCCTCAAGAATAACATACGTAATTGTAGAAAAAAACTCTCTGTAGATTGTAAGGGCCTTGCTCCGTCATTGGCAAAATAATTAACATTTCTCTGGTTTTAGTTAACTCCAACACTAGTATTCGTGAACATAAAAAAGCACTATACGAGGACGCCTCAAAATTCCTTTGATAAATTCAAGGCCGCACTAACTGTAGGTTGTTTGATTTGCAGTACCGCTGATATGGTTATTGGACATGCACTAACTTGACAGTATCCCAATTTTCATAGGATTATTTAAAAAAATCCATATGTTGCATGCTTAGCGGACCATACCGTATTTTATAACGATGATTATAATTGTAACTATTTCTCTAAAATTTGCAGTTAGAACATGGCAAGACTTACAAGAATCAAGCCGAAGAAACCAAACGGTTTGCCATCTTCAGAGACAACCTTCATTCTATTGAATTGCATAATGCCCGTTTCGAACAAGGTCTTGAAACATATACGCAAGGTATGTTATCATATTAAATAAAAATTAGTGGGTAAGTTCAGGTTTCAAATAGGTATCAACAAATTCGCCGACATGACACCCGCTGAATTTAAAGCTATGCTTGGACTTCACATTAACCGCAAACCTATCCTTAGCAAAAAGAACAAGCTTAATCTTCCAGTAGGAGATTCCGTTCCCGACTCCATTGATTGGAGAGAACGGAACGCTGTTGTTCCAATCAAAAATCAAGGTAAATGTGGGTCTTCGTATGCGTTCGCACTTGTAAGTATTCTATATCTACCCAGAAATCGATTTTTTAATCATTTAAGTCTTTCTTCTATTTTGTATCAATAAACGGGGACCAGTGAACTATCCAGACACATGATATTTGATTTTTTCTGTTTTGATCAAAAAGTAGACATTTTTAATAGTAATTTTAAATAAAAATAAATGCGGGTTATATGCATTAAATTTCAAAATATTTTAATCTATTTTTGGAACTATTTAACGCTACGGGTGATTTTAACCATAGGTTTTAACCCAAGACACATCACACACACATTTGAAGCAATCAAATTCGTATAAATATTAAATAAACTAGAAAATCACGAACAAAAATGACACAGTTCTTATTGTCAACTCTGATATTGGACTCCAGAATTTAGTGTAGCGACTTGAAGGCTCCTGTAAGAAATACGGGATGAAGATCAATTCCTCTAAAACCAAAGTCATGATATTTGGAAAGAACCAAAACGTACCCATTAAAATAGATGGCAATATCTCAGAACAGGTCTATAAGTTTAAATATTTGGAGTCCTGGAGAGTTAACACCTTGAACAACGACGTGGAAATAAAAACCAGAATGGACCAAACCAGAAATATATTTTTAAAAATGAAGAACGTTTTCCAGAACCTTATAAAAAGAGAGCTAGCAACGTCGGGAAAACAAGTATTTTAAGAAAGCTGGCTCTTTAATATATCGTTTACTAGGCTCTCTGAAACAGCATGCGGCCCGTCTAGCTGCCGGTAAACGTTTCGTTCCCTACTGCGCATTGAAAGAAGATTCTATATTTTTCTTAGTCCTTGAAATTCTAGTATTGAATAAAAACCGAGCGAGTCTCCATTGCTCAGCGCGTAGAGGTTCCGCCTATCAAGCGAGGAGTCAGAGTTGGTGACGAGAGTTATTTAATACTTTGCTATCAGAATATAAACGAATATAAAATAAAAAAGTTTTTGCCCTGACCCAGTCTCGAACTCTGAATCCTCGGTTCGTAGTTGGAAACTCTACGCGCTGCGCTATGGAGACTTGTTCGATTTATATTCAATACTAGAATATAACGGACTAAATAAAAAAATATATAGGATCTTCTTCCGATGCGCAGTAGTGAACGCAACGGGTATCGGCAGCCAGATGGACCGCATGCTGTTCCAGAGAGCATAGTAAAAGATATATCAATGAGCCAGCTTTCTTAAAATACTTTTTCGAAAACGTTGCTAACTCTTAGACTATTAGATTGGACCTTGAGTTGAGAACTAGGCTCGTCAGTAGTTATGTTCGGTCTCAATCCTATAATACGGAGCAGGAACATGGATACTGAAAGTTCAAGAGATGAATCGCCTCGGATCGTTCGAAACATGGATATATCCCTTGTTTATATATTTATATTGTTACGTTTTTCGTCGGTTCCGTGTGGATAGAAAGTCACAATTTATTTAAACACTATTTATTTAACACTAATTAACAAAAATAATAACGATAAAAGACTTATAGAACTATTTACAAAAGATTTATAACTAAGAATTTATTTTGAATTTTAGCGCGTCAACTGTATATTTATAACTGCCTAAAAGTAAGAAAAACATCGTATTTAAGGCATATATTGAGAAACGAGGAATCGCAGGAAGAAACTATATTGGTTGAGAAACATCAGAAATAGGACCTTACTTTTGAAGAACTCATAAGAAAAGCCGAGATTTGTGAAGAATTTGCCAATTTGATCGACAACCTCCACGAAAGAGATGGCACGTAAAGAAGAATATAGCATGTCTAGAAACATGTCTAGATTAACGTTACCTGAACGATTTCCTTGGGTTTATATCGAAATGGGCTTAAGCATATCGCGCACTTATGCCGAAGCGCGGCGAAAAACTGTGCAAGGATTACATTTATATTATTTAATGTACGTCCGCTGACTCAAGCGAGGCAACTGCTCGCAAGACAACAGGTGAGCCAGCCGCGCGCCGAAACGACGTTTGTTGCAGACCTGGAATCCAAAGCGAAGAAACTCTGTTAGGCGCGCTTCGCGTGTCCTAGTGCGCGGCGATCAACGGAAACTTCCTTTGTTTTCGCTCATTTTCGGAATTTATTTTGGGTGTCTTCGGATTAATGATGAATGTTTAGTCAAGAACCGGTTTGTTTTGTTTGAATTTGTTTCTTGTAATTTAATTATTGAGATCATGGATGATGAAACATTCATTTTGATTATACAGAGCTACAAAGAGTTATATGATGTTAGGGACCCAAATTACCAGAACCAATTGGGACGAGCCAATATCTGTGGAGAAATTAAGCTATTATTGCTATTTTTAGATCACAAATAAAATATTTTCTATTTACTAAACGTTATCTACTTACTAAACGAAATCTAGAATTTTGACGCTCTATAGCTGGTCTTAACAAAGAAAGAAGTTCAGTAAATTTTTCGTTGGTCATTCCATAATACTTGAAAGCTTTGCTTTCGCCTTCCAGCTTTCGTCTTCTTCAAATTTGAGTTAAGGTATATTCTCCGTACGCATTTCTTTTTATATTAATGTTATGAATCCAAGATTTTCTCTTTTTGTTCTCACGCATTTCTTTTTGTTTAGATATTGTACATAATAATGAAATCACCCTCTAAACTACTGCTGGAACTTGTGTCGCGATAGTTCATTGACAGCCAATAGACGTAATAAATTAACATTGAGTGCTCTGTAGTCTAATTTAATTTAGAGGTTTTATTCGCATCAAAGTTTTAATCACATTTTAGGTTGGTTCTGTCGAATCTGCGTACGCAATTAAAACTGGAAACCTAACCGAATTGTCCAAACAGCAAATCATCGATTGTACTATCACTCTCAACTTGGGCTGCAACGGTGGACTGTTGGAACAGACCTCCTTACATTGAAGAAAGTGGTCTTCTATCTGAAGAAGACTATCCATACGCGGGTATGAAATATGTATTTTGAAACATTTTATTTTGAGCAGAACGAAAATGAGATATCTAACCATGACTTAAGATTAAATGTGAATGTATATTTTCTAGATGCTGACGGTACTTGCCAGTATAACGCTTCCAAAGTTGTAACGAAAATCAGTGCTTATGTCAGCTTCAGTGACAATGAAGACACATTGAAAGAAGTTGTGGGAACTGTGGGACCGGTAGTTGCTGGTATCGATGCTGACACCATAAGGTATTACAAGAGTGGTAAGTTTGCAAAAATTATATAATATCCGACTAATAAAGTATTTAGCAACGCAATTTCACAAATAAAATTTTATTTTTGTTTGCATTTAATATATACAGGGGCCGGCAATAGTGCGTCGGGCATCTGTATTTCCTACAATAAAAAACTTCAGAATTTTGTTTAAGTGCAAACCGAAAGAACATAGGATGTATTTCAGGAAAATATTTTAACTTCTATAGGGTGGCTCAAAAAATGTCAGTGGATCGGGATAATTTTTTTAAATGGCACACCCTGTATATTATTGCATTTTTGGCTTCCTTTCAGATCACGTTACATTATCCTAATTATGAGTTTTTTTTTTAATGTTTCGATAGTTTCAGAGACATTAATAAATAAATAAAACATATATTTTTTTCAGCCTTTTAAAAAAAAATATTAAAAATACATGAAATGTCCTGAAATCAAAACTATATTACGTATTTATTTTAGATGGTCTATACTTAATTTTGCTATAAATATCGTAATCGTTAATCATACAGGGTGTTCAAGATTCTACGCCAAACTTTCTAAAATATAAAATAATTTTTCTTTGTTTTTTTAATGGAACAGCCTGTATATTATTTTTTTATTAGATGGAGAATTATAAAACGAACATTTTTTGTATTTAAAGTATTTCAAAAATTTTAATGGATTCGCAGATACACGCAGTATTATTTCATATGGCTCTCTCAACGGTAAAATACGAGAGAAAAATCATTGGGTGGCTTTGATAAAAATTTACTATGGAAAATGCCATATGAAATATAAAACGGCGAATATTTGCAAAACTGTTAAAATTTTTGAAATACTCTAAATGCAATATATGTTCATTTTTTAATTCTCCATCTTTTAAAAAAATAATATAAAAGGTGTTCCATTTAAAAAAGGAAGAAAAAGTATTTTATATTTTAGAAAGTTTGGTGTAGAATTTTGAATATCCTGTGTGATTTACGATTACCATATTTATAGCGAAATTCTAGAAATACATCCTCGTGCATACTTTATTTTTACTTCTTTTGTTTACACTTAACCAAAATTACCAAGTTTTTTATTCTAGGAGCTACAGATGCCCGACGCACTACTGCCGGACCCTGTATGTAATTTTTCATTTTCTTATTTGCTCCACAAATCATTATTATTAAATTTAATAATTTATTTTTGTATTTTTAGGAATTTATAATGATACCAGTTGTCCTCAAACATCTGGTTCCTTAGACCATGCTGTCTTGGTTGTCGGATACGGCGCTGAAAATGGCACCGACTACTGGATCGTCAAAAACACGTGGGGCGAGACTTGGGGTGAATCTGGATACATCAGACTTGCGCGTGGAGTTAACCAATGTGGCATAGCAGCTGAAAACTCATATCCCGTTTTATAAATAAAGTATACTGAAATCATGTATTAAAATAATTATGCCGTAATTAATGTATAAATAATATGAAAACAATAAATATTATATTATTTTTGGTACTTCTTCTTCTTCTTCAAGTGTCATGTTCTTAGTGAACGTTGACGACTGCCATGTTAACAACATCTCTGTACCGCTCTCGATCTTGCGCTACATGGAGTAATTCATCCGCACTTAAGCCTGTCCATTGCCGCAAGTTCCTCAACCACGAAAGCCTCTTGCGCCCAATCCACTTCTTTTCTTCGATTTTTTCGTTAAGGATCAGTCGGAGAAATTCATATCGAGGTCCTCTGGTTATATGGCCAAAGTATTCAAGTTTTCGTCGCTTGATAATATTCAGAAGTTGTCTGTCGTGCTCCATTCTTCGAAGAACTTCTTCATTTCTGGTTCTGGTGGTCCAAGATATTCTAAGCATTCTTCTGTATGTCCACATTTCAAATGCTTCGATTTTATTTATTGTTGCTTTATTAAGTGTCCACATCTCACATCCATACAAAAGAATCGACCACACATAACACTTTGTAAACTTCTCCCGTATTTTGATGATTAGTGAACTATTTCAGAGCAGCGACTTAAACTTCTGAAATGTATTTTTTGCTTGTTGTATACGAAATCTGATTTCGCATGAAGGATCGATATGTTGGTTAATCCAACAGCCTAGATATTTAAACTTCGCCACTCTCTCCAACGTTTCCTCATTCAACAATAATGGGGTCTCGCCGACATCTAGATTATTTATAATAATTAGATTAATATTTTTGATTGATATTTTGTGGTAAATAGTAAAAAAAATTGTGATATTTTTGTACGCCATGGAATATTGGTATTTATTGAAAATAAAAGAGTTTCAGACTTTCATTGTCTTTAATTATTTTGATTAACAGAATATTTCGGTTAGAAGGATCACTGAACACGAAGAATTGTACAGACATCTCCTCAAGAGTTCCATCGCTCCCCTAACAGGCAGCGAAATTCTTTCGGAAAATGTTGTCTGCCCTCAATCTAGCCTCGACAATGTCTAGCTGTAACCAGTGTACCCAGTGGCTTTAGAAATGATATCCCCTGTAGACCTCTAGTCCTCGACAAAAAGAGATGACAAATATCTGCTTGTAATACTCTCTCTTCTGTAAATTGTACATAGTAAATTAACTGTAAATAATCCATACAGGGTGGTACAAAGTGGGCAGTTTCTACCACATCATATAGCATTCTTCTTACAATGCCATACTCTATACAGAGCGTCGGCTACCTCTCGCACGTACTTGTGATGTGTGTCATCGGTGTTTCACAAGTACACGGGACCTACAGTTTATCGCCGAATCCGAACGGCACTATTTGAAAGGCTGTACAAGACAAATATACTCAAGGTGGTTTGCCATTGCCTTCCTTGAGGTGGCGGCTCGCTGGTCGCTCTATTTAGATAAACCAATATTTTTATTTAAATAAATAAAGCGACCGTACTGACTGAGGATCAAACCCAGTACCATCCTATCTCTCGCACCGCAGATCGACACACTAACTGCTTGCGCTACGGCCGACCACATCATATAGCATAATAATATAATAGTCAACGAGATATGAGATTGAAATCTGGCGAACGGAATGTCTAGCGGCAAAACATAAACGCCAACTCCTTGGAGAAAATCCATACTTTATCTAGCTATATCAAGACGTGCGTCGTCACGATATTTTCTTTCAATTTTGTGATACGGATGCTTGACCGAATGATCTGGGATCATGACTGAGACCAGTGAATTTGATAGTTGTTGTCATTTGCTCTCTGTAAGTATTTTATATATATTTCAACATCTCTCTAAATTTGAATATGCTACATACAGTTGTCAATAGCGGAAACTAGCAAAGTTCCAAACCTACTTTATTTAAAAATTATTTCCTGTATAATTTTCTTTGCAACTGCAAATAAAATGCAACCTAATTTGCATACCTAAATTGATAATATCTAATTGGCAACTAAAATACTGCAATCTAAATTGATAATATCTAATTGGTGGATTTATTAAGAATTCAAATTTAACGGAAAAAGAAAATAAAAACTCGTTTAATGTTTCTGTATAACCATGTATACCACGTGTGAGTCTATCAAAGCTTACCAAAAATCCGTATTAAATTAAACTTTTAATATGAGGCGTGGATTGCTGATGAACAAACATTTCTCAAAAAAATCACTGAACAAACCGAAAACGAAATAAACGTCCCGATTGACTGCGCACTTAGAAATGAATAGATGAATTCATACTATAACATTTCATAATATATTAATTTTGATCGAGAGATGCCAATGAGAACAGTCTATGATATATGCCGACAAATTGAGTTGTTAAACGATATGTGAGGAAGAACATAGTCGGGTTAAGTTTTCTGAAATTTCACCATATTCTGTTCAATTTTCTTAATTTTTCCTTCCGTAAGAACCTTCTATAAAGTATTAAAAAACTTAAACAAAAAAAATAATGCAATTATAAGGTTGTTCTCCATCCCCTGGAAGATGCAAGACCTTGTCGTTGGTGGCAAAGCTCCTAGGCAGGTGCTAGGGGTAATCCCCTGGGGCACTTTGGATGGATCTATGGAGCATCTTCCTGTCTTGTCCCTTGCTGTAGTGCCGTGGCCAGGGAATTACACCAAGACATACAACGATGCCGTATGTGACTACCCTGTCCGTCATACCAGGCACCTTCTACTGTCTGTGATCATGTCACATGGGCAGATAGTCTTGACTTAGCGCCTGGACCAAGAGGAGACCTCCTCACCAAAAAAACCAAATCCTACGATGGCGGGACCAGATCAAAGAAATGCGTGGCTAGATAGAAGACTAGCCTATATACTGGTCTCAACCTTCGGGACACTAGGGGGTAACCCATTGTATTTATGGTAGTTGGTACCTCCTACTTCTACTTGCGGGGCTCTGTAGAAGTGGACCGACTAACTCTTGCAAATATCTGCTAAGCTAGAGGGAAAACCCCTAGCAACAATGAGAACATTAAGAGTGCAAGTTCCAATGGACCAACCCCAAAAAAAAACTAGAGAAGAGGCAGCTGATACTTGCGCGAGACCAGCTTCCACAAGTGGCACACAAGTTACCACATCCTCTAAAGGTCGGGAGTTTAAGTCTACATCCAAGAAGATACATAAGCAACTGTTTCGTCTACCGGCCTGGGTCAACCAGACAGGCTAGGCGACCCCTGAGAGTAGATCTCAGCCAAGTACGGAGGTACCTCCGAGTGCTCTACGAAGGATTTACTCCAGAGAAACCTCTCACTTCTGCTCCGGCAAGGAGAGAAAAAGTCAGGATGAAAAGTCGTCTTACACCGGGAGGCAAGCAGGAACGTATCACCAGGTTTGCCAGAGCTCTAATGTAGGGACATCGAGTTGGCGAGTCATCAACTCAAATCTAAGGAGGCAATTGAGAAAGAGAGAGAGAGAGAGATATCCTCTCCTCCATTGTAGATTCGGGACAGCACCGGTATCAGGTCTAAGAAGAGACGAAGTTAAAGAGGTAGAGAAAATGGAGACTGATCCGCCAGCCTCCACCTCACGAGTACATCAGCTGGAGATAAGGTCATCGACTGTGAACGGCACGTCGCAACCGTGGGAAGGTGTATACCCTTGTAGTAGGTAGATATACACTCCTCGGGGGATGAAGATCTGTTGTCAGAGAACGATGGGAAATACCCTATAACAGGAAGGTTCCCATGTACAATGAGTTATGGACTGAATGATGAGTTATAGCTCAAGAAAGGGGGACAAAATAGATACTTAAGGTCGCAGTGATTACCCCCCCATTCAACCAAACCAAACCAAACCAAAACAAAATAGATACTTAAGGTCGCAATGATTCCCCCCCATTCAGCTCATTCTACATTCTACAAGATCGTTTTCAAGTTATGACGTGCAACCTAACCAGGGGACATAAGGATTCATTTTTATATATAGATTGATTAACTAAGTAACCGCCGACGACAAAACTGATGTAAAATAGTATAGAGAAGATAGCGCTGGTAGTTCTTGAGTTAGTCTTGTAGCTTGGCAGTTATTAGTTATTTAGTTAGTCAGAGTGATAATTAAATCCATGTAAGTATATATGTTAAAACTTCTGTATACTCATAAATAAAAAAATGCAATTTCCCCATTCAATTTATTTTATATAGTATGATCTTTTTATCCTTAATAAATATATGTTTATCCCATAATATGCTGTTTTATTTAAAAAGAATACCTGGTACAGCGTACCTTATGAGCCCTAGCCAAAAACATCAAAAGCTATATCGCGAGAACAGGGAAAACGATTGAATGCTAGGGCGGAAAATAGGGAGAAACATCAATATCAAACAATTGAAAGGCATGTTCGAACCACTCTAGTCATGTTTATACTCTATACTCAATTTTTCTAACATGTCTTGAAAACCGTTCTCTAAAGAGCATAAGTAACGTTCACCGGTTAATGTATCCTCGAAAATGAATGGCCCAAGAATCCTATACGCTTTTCTTCATTTGAAACATTTACAATAATTTAGTTGCGTCTCGATAAAATACTTTTGTTTGGATGTAACAGTTTGACATCTCTGAAAGCAACGACGGCGACGATTGAACTTGTTTCCATGGCTAACTAAGTGAAATTAGTCAAAAACTATAAGAATTGGCTGTAACTCAGTAATTTCTCCAAAAAAAGATATTATAGCTTATATCACCGAAAAGCGTGGTCAACTATGATTTCCATTTTCATTAAGGATGTGATTATCTACAACTTTCGTCTGAAGTCTTTTTGTCTTAAATAGCTTATAACGGAATTCCCAGCATTTTTAAATTAGCCGAATTTTTTTTTTTCGAAATATCTAGTAAGCCATATTTTTCTTTTCAAAAATCGGAAAGACGTATCTGTTTGTCCTAACAAAACTGCAATTCTTTCCCCATTTAACCGACTCTCTAGCTCCAGTAGTTTCCGAGACACCCATAGAGAATATCGTAGAAAACTCACTATGTATATTTTCATCTTTGAATAATTATTGATTATGAATATTATCTACTAAATCTTTTAATCTATTTACTTTTTGGCACACCGTGTATTATATAATTTTGCACTTAATATGGCAGGCTTTTTATTCATAATTTTAAATAATTAGATTAACTTTAATACTTAAGTTGGTATTTCCTGTGGCCACTTAATCTCTAATCATCTGTAGTATTTTGACTATATATATATATATTGTTTGAAAAAATTAGTAATTTATTGTTGCAGTATCATTCAAACCACAAAAATGAAAGGCTTTATCTTGGCTAGTTTTTTGGTGGTTGCCGTCAGTGCTTCTTCACTGTTTCAGCAGGATGGCGCCAAATTCCAAGCATTCAAGGTAATTTGTTTTGTACTTGGAACTACTATGCGATAGAAAAAAAAGACTCCTGACAATCGATGATAATTTTGGCCAGCTCAAACCTGAACGTCATTTACTTGACTTATACTCTTCTTTTTTTTTTAATGGCGCTTACTGCCAGTTGACCTTAAAATGGTGGTAATTTATTTTTATATTTAGTAAAAATGGTTTTAAATGGTGTATACTTTAAAATTCTAGCATTTTTTTTGGAAATAGATTTGTGTGTCTGGAAACGTTCTGTCTTTTAAACCTTTCAATAATCAGTACTAATTTTTGGCAAGTTTTAGCCAATGATGTCTAGAGATTGTCCTCGCTAAGATTATCATCGATTGTCATTCCCCTGCCGTCTTTGTTGTCTTTGTCATCAAAATTTATATATTTCTGTACATCGCGCAGTTGCAACATGGTAAGACCTACAAAAACCAAGCCGAAGAAGCGTCCCGTTTTGCTATCTTCAGGGACAACCTTCGTTCTATTGAAAGCCACAATGCCCGATTTGAACAAGGTCTTGAAACTTACACCCAAGGTATGCAATTAATTTAAAGTTCAATTCATAGCTAATTTCATGTTTCAACTAGGTATCAACCAATTTGCTGACATGACAGACGCTGAATTCAAAGCCATGCTTGCTCTTCAGTACGCCAATAAGCCTAACTTCAACGACAATAGTAAATTCCAACTTCCTGAAGGGGCTTCTGCTCCCGATTCCATTGACTGGAGAGAAAAGAACGTTGTCGGTCCCATCAAAAATCAAGCGTCATGTGGATCTTGCTGGGCTTTTGCACTTGTAAGTTGTTTTATGTACCTCTATTTGAAATTAGTTTTATGCTATTTTACTGTATACGATTTTTAGATGTTTAGTCTCTTCAAAATAGTCTTATGGGTATTTCGCCGCTGTGAGAAAATCGACAAAATAAAATAATTATTTTTTGTAAACACTGGTGACCAACCAACGGAGACTAATTTGTCTGAGCAGTGGGTTATTAATAAACAAATTTGTCTAATGGACAATTTTTTAAAAAAATTATTAATAAGAATTTAGGTTAATTTTGAAGTTTAACTTGATATAATGTCATTTCAACAGAACGTCAACGGTTTTTTTAGAGATATCAGTTTAAAAAAACTAAAGTGTTCTCGAACAGTTGCATTTAGATATTTTAAATAGTTTTTTCTTTATTCTTTGTATTTTTCTTTGCTTCCAACAACGGAAAGAGATATACTTTCCAAAACGTTAAGCATTTTTTTGTCCGTTAGGCAAATTTGTTTATTAGTAATCCACTGCTGACAATTAGTCTCCGTTGGATTAACGCAGCAATGTTTACACAACATAACTCTTTTATTTTGTATATTTTCTTACAGTGGCACAATACCCATAGCACTTTTTTGGAGTGATAAATCCGCCACAGAGGTATAAACATTTTTAGATGTTTAATATTTGTTCTATCTATTTCTAAGTTTTATTCAACTTTTAGGTTGGATCTACCGAATCTGCATTAGCACTTAAAACTGGAAATGTAACTTCCTTATCAGAACAACAACTTATTGACTGTACTACTGACATCAATTTTGGTTGCAGTGGTGGAATGTTGGAACCAACATTCCCTTACATTCAACAAAATGGACTTGAATCCGAAGCAGACTACCCATACCAGGGTAAGGTATATTTTTAAAGTATGTTATATTTTAGCAGCGTTAATTAGATCAACACCACCTCGTTAATCTTAGACTAAAACTGAAAATATATTTATAGGTGAGGACGGCAATTGCACATATGACTCTTCCAAAGTTGTAACCAAAATCACCTCCTATGTGTACTTCAATGGTAGTGAAGAAGTATTGAAAGAAGCTGTTGGAACTGCAGGACCAGTAGTTGTTGGTATCGATGCTGATTACATGAAGTACTACAGTAATGGTAAATTTAAATTTCGTTGTTTAATGGCCCCAAAATAATTAAAGTTGTTTTTATTTGTCTCGATGTGGGTCAAAATGGGTCACTTGTTGAAATAATCTGACAAAGCGTTTTAAATAATTGTAGTCCTAAGGAAGAGAATATATTTGTCAAAACGTCGACCAAGCACTAAGTAAAAAACCTGAGTTCTATTTTGCCCACATTCAAACAAATATTAAAAAACAACTGTAAATGTATATCTCTGAAATAACTGGCACAGTCAGTCAGTGGCGCAATTAGAAGGGGGCTGATGTGTGCCCCTCGCCTTCCCTACACGGTGCATTTACTAATCGTTTAAAATTAGGTTTAAGCTCAAATTAATATTATCTTATACGTGACCTAAGGCCCCCCCAAAAAAATATTTGAGCGCCCCTAAAGTGCATGTCTAGTTGCAGCCACTGGACACAATATTTCTTCTTCTTCTTAGTGTGCCGTATTCATTTAATGAATGTTGGCGACAATTCTGGCAAATTCGTCTCGATCTTGGGCGACTCTAAAGAGTGAATGGGCATCGAGACCAGTCCAGTCTCTGATGTTCTTAAGCCAAGAATACTTCTTTCTTCCGATGCCACGTTTTCCTTCAATCTTCTGTTTTATTATGAAATCTTGCTGTTTTCAGGAATATTTACTGAATCAGGATGTCCTCAAGATTCCGCAAGCTTAGACCATGCAGTTTTGGTTATTGGATATGGCTCTGAAGATGGGTCTGATTACTGGATTATCAAAAACTCATGGGGCACTGCCTGGGGTGAATCTGGATTCATTAGATTTGCGCGTGGAGTGAACCAGTGTGGCATAATCACTGAAAATACCTACCCTATAATATAAATAATCATTTTTATTAACAGTAAATTGTATATTAAATGGAATATTAAATAAACACCTTGTTAGTAGTTATATAATATGAATTAAATTAATATGTGAATATTTTTGTATTAATGTCTTGGTGCTTATTTTGTACCTACTAAGTCATGCAGTATATTTATTTGTAAATAATGGCGTGAATCCTTAAATTTCTGTTTTCGTGATATTATATATATATTATACTGATTAAATGTAAATTTTACTACAAATAGTATTTTCATTAATAATATATTTTCGTGTGGACGAAGAGAGTACGTTCAATACGCTCATTACAATAAGATACTGAAAAAAGAAAGAAGAGCCAGTATTTTCCCAAGTGCATGAAATCTAGCCTCAGATTAAGTGGTTATTTAACATAATACTTAACATCTTTGCTCTCTCCGACTTACTAGATAACCAAAGCCATACAATACTAGACATGTAAACACCGACCAAAGGTTTCGCTTGCCAGTGGGGTATGTCACTAAGTATATCAATCATAAAAAAAGTAGAAAAATGTATCCTTATGTTGCATTGACATTACAGCATCAAAGGTATTAGCTTTATAGGCTACTAAAAGTTGGTAATAGGCCTTTAAAAAAATAACTTCCTTATATTGGGAATGTCTAGGTTTTTCGTCACTGGAACAGAAATGTAAAAAATAATCAAGTTATTTTTTGTAAATATCACGGCGTTCAATACAAAAGGAAACCAACTTCTCAGTGGCTGTTTACTAGTAAAACAAATTTGCCTAACCGACAGAAAACGTCAATGGTAAACTAAAGTGTTCTTGAATAGTTGTATTTAGACATTTAAAATATAGTTTTCCTTTTCTTTTTGATTTTTGCTTTTGACGACTGAAGGAGATACACCTGCTGAAGCCTTATACAATTTTTGTCAGTTAGGCAATATGAACAACATGAACAACAAAAGATCGCTTACTGATTTTTAATTATTAATTCCAAAAATAAAAGGAAATTCAAATTGCTGGTGTTAAGTATTTCAAGAATTAACAAAGAATATAATATAAACATATTGTAGAACAATAAATAGTAGAATAATTAACATTTATAATAAAAATGTGACAGGTTATCCTACTCTGCGTACCCGCTCACCAAGGGATAGAAGGCAATGAAAAAACAAACGATCTGGATAGAAAAGGAGCGAACACTCCGCTAACTGAACCAGGAACGTTCTATTTTCCAGACGGAAACCAACTTAAAACGGAACTCAAGAACCTGGAAGACTCCATCCATAACCTGGAATGGGAATCCCCCAACGGTCAAAATACTCGAAAGTTTGTCAGAACTTACAGTCCAGAAAAATCAAAGATGTTCCTTGATTTAAGTAAGAACAATCTTCGGATTGTCACGGGGTTTCTAACAGGACACTATCTTCTTAACGGACACCTCAGGTGTTTGAAGCTGTGTGGAACATGGGGAAACATCTGAACATTGAGTACACCGAGACGACAACCGTTCATGTCCTAAACTTTGGTACGGCTGATGTCGGAGATGGAAAGCTGGCCTCTGTGGAGCTGTCTCAGATACTGGCTTTTGTCAAAGCCCCGAGATTGTATGAATTATAACTCGTTTGTATCAAAAAAGGAGAACACACAATGGATCTGTAAGGTCGCGGTGATTAACCGCCCACCTAAACATTCCACATTATAATCTACAGGGTGAGTTTCCTACGATGTTCTCTATGGGTATCTCGGAAACTACTGGAGATAGAGAGTCGGTTAAATGGGGAAAGAATTGCAGTTTTATGGGGTCATAAATATGCGCCTTTCAGATTTTTGAAAAAGTTCATGGCTTACTAGATATTTCGAAAAAAACAAATTTCGGCTATTTTAAAAATTGTCCCTAATTCCATTATAAGCTATTTTAAACAAAAAGTTTTCAGATAAAAGTTGTAGATAATCACATCCTTATTGAGACTGTGTCCTCCGTTTTTTTCTAACGCCTGTCATTTTTGACATATGACACAAATATATGCTTTTTTAAATGGAAACCATAGTTGGCCATGACTTCATAAAAAGCGCCATTTTTTAAACTTTTTAGTGATATAAGCTATAATATCTTTTCTTCGAAAAATTACTGAGTTATAGCCAATTCTTATCATTTTTAAACAAATTCACTTAGTTAGCCATAAAAACAAGTTCAATCACCGTTGCTCTTACGGTTCTTTGCAATTTACATTACACAAACTAAAACTTAAAAAAATAATATCACTACATACACTTTAAGTTATTTTAGAAAATGTTCAAATATTCCGCCATTATTTTGAGTTGCATCTTTGTAAAACTGTAACTGACTTAATTAAACTTTTCTCGTACCGCCACTTCTAGTGTCTCTCTTAATTCATAAGTTCTTTTGTAAACCTTATTGTTAACTATACCGCATAAAAACTTCTAAAATGGATAGTTCAGGTGATCGGGGAGGCCCATGCAATTATTCCACCTCTTCCTATCCCTGCGTTTGTATAATTATGATATAAATAATTTTTAACATTGCTCTCATTATGGGGGGTGGGCGGCGGGTGGTGTGTCATAATGGAAGATCATGTTGGAATCACTCTATTGATGCGCGAGTATCTACACGCTTTTCTTCATTTGAAAAATTCATATTTACAATTTTTGTTTATTTTAATTTACAAAGTTTGGATGTGACAGCTTTACATCTCTGAGAGCAACAGCGATTGAACTTGTTTCCATGGCTAACTAAGTAAATTTGTTTAAAAATCATAAGAATTGGCTATAACTCAGTAATTTTTCGAAGAAAATATATAAAAGCTTATATCACTAAAAAGCATAAAAAATGGCGCTTTTTATGAAGTCATGGCCAACTATGGTTTCCATTTAAAAAAACCTATGTTTGTGTCATATGTCAAAAATGACAGGCTTTAGGAAAAAATGGAGGACACAGTCTCATTAAGGATGTGATTATCTGCAACTTTTATCTGAAAATAAAAACTTTTTGTCTAAAATAGGTTATAATGGAATTAGGGACAATTTTTAAAATAGCCGAAATTTGTTTTTTTTTCGAAATATCTAGTAAGCCATGATATTTTTCAAAAATCTGAAAGGCGCATATTTATGACCCCACAAAACTGCAATTCTTTCCCCATTTAACCGACTCTCTATCTCCAGTAGTTTCCGAGATACCCATAGAGAACATCGTAGAAAACTCACCCTGTATAAATAATAAACACATAATAAAAAATTCTATGGTGGTCCGAACTGTATTTCGGAAACTTCGGTAGCACATTCTGCTGAAAAAAATAAGTAAAAAACTTCGTATAAATGTATGTCGTAAAATGCTTAGTTTCGGAGATACAGGGTGTAGAAGTTTCATTTTTATTTCGATTTTTTCCAAATAATTTCTGAAGTAACGTCAATATTTGGATGAAAATTAGTGTCTGGTAGTTTTTTGACTTCAGAAATTTCATTTTCATGTCAATATGACTCTAATTTGTAGGGGGCGCCACTTACATGTGTTTTAACTGTTTTGAAGAGTAATAACTTTTCGTCCGAACCTGTATAAAACTACTAAGTGAAAAAATACAAATTTCCGTGATTTTCCACGTAAAAAATGTCTCTTGGTAAAAATCGCTACGGGCAACCGTTCTCATGATATTTAGAAGGGAAATAGTCAATACATCTCATTATTGACAAAAAAATAAACATGTTGAGTAGATAGTTATTTGACTGAAATGATAAATTTGGGAACTTTTTTTTAAATAAATTTAAATTTTCTTCGATAAAATTATGATAAAACAGTTTCTGTTGGACATTTGACACAAAAACATTTCTAATTTCTAATTTCAGTCTAATAACAACTATTTAGTCAACATATTTAATTTATGTCAATGAGGACAGGTATTGACAATTTCGATTTCGAATATCTCGAGAACCATTACTCGTAGTGATTTTTACCAAGAGACCTTTTTTACTGAAAAATCGTGAATGTATATTTTTTTACTCGGTAGTTTTATACAGGTATGAACGCAAAGTATTACTCTTCAAACCAATTAAAAAATATGTAGATGGCACCCTCTATAAGAGTCATATTGACATCAAAATCAAATTTCTCATTTCAACAAACTCCCAAACACCAATTTTCATCCAAATATTGATGTTACTTCAGAAATTATTTGGAAAAAAATCGAAATAAAAATGAAACTTCTACACCCTGTATCTCCGAAACTACGCATTTTAGGCCATATATTTATAAGAACTTTTTTACTTATTTTATGTGCAGAATATGCTGTTGAAGTTTCCGGAATACAGTTCGGACCACCCTGTATGTAGAATTTTAAATTAATTCATTCTTTCATATTAATTAATAATTTATCTTATAACAGTGTATTATTTTTGTTGGTATTAATAATATTATTGTATTAAGTGGCCCTACTTATCACGTGATATCTATCAAGTACTTACGAAGGCAATACATGGTTACTAGTGATGATATTTGACATTTACTTGACATCTTGCTAAGGCTATACTACTTAGCAAGTTAAATTACTTATCACGTATCACTTAATAAGTAGGCATCTTGAGATATTTCTTTCTTTTTGAATATTGATTAAATAATTGTTTAGTAACTAAATATATTTTGACACAAGGTTAAGTAGTCACTTTCTAAAATCACTAGACTTTTAAAGGATGGTTCTATGAACAAAAATAAATGATAAAATTTGTAAATGTCTATATTTATTTTTAACAATTTTAATTTTTATTGGATTACGTACTAATTCGCTTTTGTGATTTTGAATAATCATCGGGATGTTATCATCGGTTAAATTTAAACGTTACAGAACATGTCACAAAATGGCTCTAAATTTTAACGATTCAAACTATCAAAAATATGGTGTTGAATTAATATTAATAAAATGTGTGATTTCAGCATACAATAGAAATAACGTATGGTCGAAAAAAACGGCGTCCAGTTGGTTTGGAAATGACGACAAATGACATTCCCATATAACTTTACATATAAAATGACAGCGATCTTCATTTCATATTTCATAGACATCGCTGACGCCATTTTCTTTTCGATCATACGGTATAAGTACGTT